CTTGTTTTTTCTCATAGTTCCAAATCTCCATTTCTAAGAATTGAAAAACGAAGCCAAAAGAACCCCTCCCTTCTTGTGCATCTTCTTTATACTTTTTAAGTTCCATTTTCAATTCATCCAGAAGTGGTATAAATTTTTAAACAACCACCCAATTGATTTTAGTCATTCAAATATAATAACCAAAAATCCAAAAATCACCAAATAATCCAAATACACGCAAGCTGTTTCTTTTTTGCTCTTTTTTTCACTTTCTCTTCCTGGGGTTACTATTTAGTTGCAAAGTTTCAGTTAAAATGTATCTTTTAGAAGTCTTGTTGAAGTTTTACTTTAGATTCTTTTTAATTCCAGGCAGTCTCCTCCCTCTTTCCAGATCCTGCCCTTATTCTTTTTCTCTCCCTTCCTGCTTATGAAAAAGGAAGTTTTTAATGTCCAGAAATCTTTATTATCCCTTTGGCATTTTGTTTTATTTTCATCTTAGTTGTCTATTAATGTCAAAGCAGATTTTTCTGATTTCTAATTTAAGACTCTTAGTTGTCAGTGTAGGGATGGAGAGAGAAGGAAAAAAAAGCCAAACCTTTCCCTTTTCACTTTCCTTTGCTGCTTCCGACTCTTCTTTGGGAACGATGTTATTTTTTATAAGTTTAAATTCCAGGGTACCTTGGTTGTTGCTTTTACAATTTAACCCAGTCAGCCAAAACTTTCACTTCTTATCTTCCTCCTGCACATTCTTTTCTGGTCGAGTTCTTCTTTGTGGTGGCCATTTCTGACCACTGCTGCAACTGCCTTCGGGAAAGGGAGTAATGGCCAGCTGAGGAGGAGAGATGCGGCTCTCCTCGACCCTGCTGGTGGTCTCCCCCCTCTTCACCACCTCTACAGGGTGGCTTAGCCCTGAAATCAGCCAGCTCGGGGCGCTCCAGTGGTGAGCCCAGAGAGAAACCGCGTACAATCGCGGATTTCTATTTGTCGCCGAAGCCATTCAAACCGGAAGTCCTGGCTCTATTACAGTTTAACCACCACAACACACTAACTTTCTAGATCAGTTGTTGGATTGTGACTTGCAAAATATTCAGCCACCGTTATGAACTAGAATGGAAGCCCAAGGCTAAATGGTCCCATCACAACCCAAATGTGATTGACTGTAAAATGATGTAAACATATCTCAACTACACATGGATCAACTGATTCTAATGGGCCCATTTAGGAACTACTAGTTGAGACGAGTCTCCTTGCATTGCAGCAACCCAGATCCTCCTCTCCCCTTCTCTTTCTGATCTGACCCGGCTCCCAAATACGACAAACCCTCTGTAGTTAAATCAATGATTCCTTTATTGGTGCCAGCAAAAAGTCTCTCTCTCTGTCTCTCTCTTTCTCCTGCAGGGAGATGAATAGTTGTCCTCCACACCTATTCATCTCCACCCCCTGCCTTTTATCCCCAGAGCTAGGGTAGGGGCTTCGCTAGCAGCAGTGGTTCTTCCATCCCAAGGACCAGCCCATAGATTTCCACTGCTCTCCTCTTCTCTGCTTTCTGTGCATCCAAGTCTCAGGCACTGGACCCAGCTGTTCCTCCTCTTCCTCATCAGCCGCCCCCAGACCTGGGGGCTGTTGACCTTCCATCCGAGGGCTGACAGACAGCCCAGGCTCTGCCTCTGCCTCCCTCTCTGACAGCTCCATTCCCTCTTCCACCTTGGAGCGCTCAGGTTGCCTTGATGCCGGCCCGGACTCCCACACCGCCTCCTCCTCCGATTCTGTGTGACGATGTGTGTCTGTCTGTCTGTGTGTCAAAAATGGCAGAGCAGCTGGGATTGCATCCTGGAAGTCCTGCTCTGTTCTTTTTAAAAAGAGCTTTTTCAGGCCGTCCTCGACTTACGACCACAATTGAGCCCAACATTTTTTGTTGCTAAGTGAGACATTTGTTCAGTTGAATTTCGCTCCATTTTACGACCTTTCTTGCCACAGTTGTTGAGTAAATCACTGCAATTGTTAAATTAGTAACGAGGTTGTTAAGTGGATCAGGTTTTCCCAATGACTTTGGTAGTCAGTAAAAGGTGATCACATGATCCCGGTAGACTACAATGGTCATAAATGTGAGTCAGTTCCCAAGCATCTCAGTTTTGATCACGTGACCATTGGGGATGCTGCAATGGTTGTAAGTGTGAAAGATGGTCATAAGTCACTTTTTTCCAGTGCCATTGTAACTGTCAGATCCGTGTATCTGCCATCCTTCAATGGAAGAAGAAAGGCAGGGTGGGGGGGGGAAATTGGTACAAGTAATCCTTTTTGATGTAACCTGAATATCTTAAATCTTGTATTGAATCTGTATAACTTGCACATGATATACAACTAGGGACTGGAGCCCAGATGCCTGGAAACTTGTCACCTCTTGGAGAGATAGTGTTCTGACCCAACCGGGTTCCAAGAGAACAAACACAAGACAAAGGCAGCAGCCCCCACGTTTTAAAGGTTAATCTACAAATTCTGTTTCTTCGCAGATAAAAGGCTGCTTCCAACTAATTAGCTCTGACAAGAAAGAGCTTTGACAAGTTGTTTGTCAAGGCTGCTAAAAACCCAGAGATAAGAACTAGTTTATAAGAGTTTGCAAATGCTAACTATAATGTCCACGAGGCTGAGTTTCAGAGCGTCTTTGCCTTCTGCAAAGAACGCTTCTTCAAACCTGGCTTTTATCCTCTTGAGGGAGGGGCCATTACCTTGCAGACTTACTCCCGAATCGTCCGCACTGCTGCAGCTGTTCTTTCCTATGAGCAATCCTGCGTGCACGCACACTTGGCACAGGCTCCTCGGGAACCTCCTCATCGCTGCTGCCAGCCCCCATAATCTCTGAAGGCAGCAGTCCACTCCCTAATGGCCTTGGCCCCTCATCTGAGTCCTTGCTCTCCTCCACCATCTGCACCTGCTGCCAGCTAACCACCACAGACAGCAAGAGGAGAAGGGGCCATAAAAATTCCAGCTCCAAGAGAAACTTCCTGGGAAACTTTCTTCAACTACGCTCCCAGGAAAAAAAAAAGTGTGTGGGGTGGGAATTAACATGTTGCTTCTTTGCATTGACGAAATCCACATCAGTTCTAACTCCCTTTATCTCTGCTGTATGCCTGGAGGCATATTAGACTCTGCTTTGACTAATACCTGGATAGCTTCCTTTTCACAATAAAGAATTCCTTTTGAGATACCCAGTTTTCAGAAGTTCATTCTTATAGTTTGAAAGGGAGAGAGTTTGGGCCTTACAGTAACTTCAAACGTACTGTTAAATGAACTGTTGTAAATCAAAGACTACCTGTCTGGTTAAGACAGGGGGGAAAAAGGCAAAGAAATGAATACCTTATTCTTTCAAGTAAAATGGCACGGAAACATATACAAGAAATCATATTAGCAGTTTAAATTTAAGAGGTAATATTAACTTCAAATAAGAAACTGAACAAAGATGATGAGAATCATTAGTCAAATCAATACAGTAATAACCTAGTAATAAGAAACAGTACCATTATGGCCAATTAAAAAATAAGTGTTTTATGACCTGGGGTTAAAAGAAGCTCAAACTTTAAATAGGGCATAGGTCCATGTGTGATTTAATTCATGAATGTTTCTCAACTTCTGAACTTTAATATGTGTAGACTTCAACTTCCAGAATTCCCTTGACAGCATGCTAGTACGTGAATTCTGCCAGTTGAAGTCCAAACATCTTAAAGTTCAGAAGTTGAGAAACAATTGTTGACCCCAATTCGGTTTTGAGCCTGGTGCCAAAGCCAATGATAGATGCCAGACATGAGGTGCGGGTTTTCTGATTGCATTTTATTGGAGTACTCCAAGGAAAATGGCTCCTGGTCAAAATGCCAAGAGCCAAGAACAAAGGATTGAGTAAGTTTTATACATTTTCACTAAAGTAGAAGGTGGGACAAAATGAGATAATAAGAAATACCATCTAATAAACATTTTAGTAATAATTCTACATTTTGTTCTATTGGTCTCTAGCTGTCCCTATTCTCAAGTCTTGGCTAATGGATGCCCTAGGAGTTATCTAATACACATTTGATTTGCTGCAGGCCATCTCTATCCCTGTTAGCTGAGGTCTGCAAGTTGGCTAACTCCTGTTACTTTTATCAGCTTTCTAATTAGCCAGGATTGTTACACATGCATCTCTCCTGTGGCTAAGCATTCTTTGTTCTTGCCAGCCTGACTGCACAATTATAGGCTTCCTGATTTACTTTAAAGTGTGTGCCATGACCTGGCTTTGTTTTAGCACATGGCCCGTCACGATGGTTTATGAATTGCAAGTACAGTTATGTATGTCCCTAATAATTTACCAGGTCTATATTTTGTTGCGGGGAAAGAAGGATAAAATAAGATCCATGAGTAAGTATCTATGGAGATTCTCAGTCATAGTTGTCCCAAAGGTGATTTTTCAAGAGGCAACTGGATTTTCTCTGAAGACGTTTCACTTCTCATTCAAGAAGTTTCTTCAGTTCTGACTAAGTCGGAACTTTGACTGAATCCGAACAGAAGAAGTTCCTTGGAGGAGAAGTGAAACATCTTCACAGAAAAACAAGAAAGAACAGAATAACAGAGTTGGAAGGGACCTTAGAGGTCTTCTAGTCCAACCCCTTGCTCAGGCCAGTTGCTTCTTGAAAAAAGGCCTTCGGGACATCTACTATCTCTTTAAAATATATCACACAATACCCAGTCAATGCTGGATGATAATTGCCCCATCCTTCTGCATGTTGAAATTGGACCAAAGGATAAGCTCAGCCTTCCATACATGGAAGTCGGAAGCGAACGGGGGGAGGGGGAGGGGCCAGTCTGTATTTTCATACTTCTATAGGCGAACGGGTGATGGCGGAGGAGCCGCTATGAAAAGAGAAAGCTACGGAGCCTGCGCAGTACGGCACCAGCGTGGCGACTGGATGATGAAAGACCCTGGCGGCATGCGGCAGGCAGGACTCATTCCATGCAGTGAGGGGGCGGGGCCGAAAAGGGGGAGGAGCCAGTCGGACAAATCAGGGCCCGCCCTGAGCGGCTGCGCGGTGTGTTTGCCTTTCCCTTGTGGTTCATTTCAGAAGCCGGTCCGTCTGAGCACCATGGCTGCTTACCGAGTGGAGGAGCGGGGCGCCCTCAACAGCGTCGACTACAGGCTCTTCTTCAGTGAGTCCTTGGCGGGAGAGCCGCTCCCTTCCCCGGAGGCGGCTGGTGGGGCGCGTAACTAGAGTGCAGCCAGCCTTGCGGGGAGGGGGGGATCCTTCCAGTGCCAGCCGTCCTTTGACACGGTCAATGAATGCATGCAGGCTGCACGAGATAAGGCGTAGGGGGTCCGTTTGCGTGGCGCCCGCGGCTGTTAAGGGCGTGGACCGGGGCTTCAAGCGGGAGATAAGTGTCGCTTTCCTCTGGGACGGCTGCAACCGTTGCTAACCTGGCGGGTCTTCCGGAGGTCCGGGAGCGTCTTTCCAAGAAGCTGGGCGTGCCTCCTGAAAAAGAAACCACCAAAAGTTTCTGGGTCATCCCAAACTACGCATCCTCGGAAATAAGCCAGGTTGAGTCCACTGGAGCTTAGTTGCAGTTTTTAAGTAGGGAGTAGGGATGGGAAACGCGTTTGTACCTCAATATTTTAGAATAGAATTCGAGCTGGAAGGGACCTTGGAGGTCGTCTAGTCCAGCCCCCGCCCCTCCTACTCAAGCATCTCAAACCCGTCCCTGGTGGGTTTGGGCTTATCTGTAATTTATCTCGTAACTTCAGCTTCTTCCGTTTAGAAAAGGGTGATAGTAGAAATCTTCCCTCCAAGGATCATTCTGGGCTTCGACTTTGTTAATGTATCCCAAACATGGATGGGGCTGGGTGAAAGTTTTCTTTGATATGCCTGTGTGTTTAGTATGATTTATTTAAGAAGAGAAGCCAATACAAGTGTGGGAAAAATCGGAGTGATCTATGTTCTCTAGGACCGAACAGGCTGAGGAAATTGTGAAGGGGAGGAAATTGGATGTATGTCTTTGACAGTACAGTATATCTGTTGCAATTGCAATGTTACTTTCAGTTCTTTAAATTTTTAAGGCTATCCTTCCTCTCTCTCTCTCTGCTTAAATGACTGTTTGAAAATTGTCTCTTGGGGTTGTCTCTTCAATTTTGGAATTGTAAAAATGTCAGTGACCTCTATTACTATCCATGCAGAGAGATTACATACATTGTGCAATAAAACAGTCTCTTTTGAAACAAGTCCATTCCCCACTTATTTCAGCACTACAGAATTGGCTTGCCTTTTCAAGTTATAGCCCACAATCCTGATCCAACCAAGTCTGATCCTGATTAGGTTTTTTTTTTTTTGGAGATCAGCCAAAGTTTGGCTAAAAGCAGCTACCTGCTACCTTTGCTGTTCACATAGATTGTTTTATGAAGGGCTTAAATTCCAAAATGGTATTACAATATATTTGTACTGCTGTGCTTTCAGTTAGTAAAAAGAATTGAAATGGGATAGGCATCTGGCTATTTTGAAAAATTACCTAGACGTGAAATGAAACTTGACCACTCAGCAATAGGAGATGGGACTATAGAATGATTTTGCCTGTAATCATTGGAGGGAATTTTGGGTATAGAAAAGGGGAAATCACTTCAGTGAAGTACTGGTATAATGCTTGCATGAAATATCTGTTGTGAAATGCTAGTTTTGGATTATGTAAACTATTAGGGTTAAGTAAATTGGGTATGTTTGCAAGTACTAAATTGGGGTGGGGATATAAACTAAAAAGATAATGAGGAGCTCCAAAAAAGGTCTCTAAACCAGGTAAATGGTTAACAAATGAAAACCGGTCTAGCAACTGTATTATAAATTTATGCATTGCTGTTGTCCAAATAATAGAATGTTTATTGTTTGACAACTAACAACATGGTCTTTCTGGTTGGTTCAAACCAGAAAAAATAGGTAACCCTCCAGTAAAATATTCTATTGTAATGCTCTTTAAATTTGATCCCAAGAGCAAAGGCTTGGTCTTTGCACTTAGCAACATGATTTAGCAAGAATTTAAATAGCATATGAATGATCTGGGTGACACTTTTCTAAAACCGACATCTCCACATCCTCAAGCGATTTTTAAAATCTTGCCAAGCTGTGTTGCTCAATTATGGCCTCTCTCTTTGACAAGCACTGTGAAGTATTACAGCAGAGTAATTCTTATATCATTTGTAGGGTTTAGGATAGATAAAGCCTTCCTCCCTCCCTCCCTGGCTTTGTTTGACTTGTATGATAAAATGAATCGCCTGTGGTTCAGTTGGAAAGGGTTCATGGAATAGAGATTGGGATGAATGGAGTCTAGACTTGGGGAAGTTTTAAAAAAGCACCCTGGAAGGAAGCACCAACTACTGCCAAGAAACTATGTGGGAGCATCTATAAAGTCCAGAGACTGCTCAATTTGAGACGAAAAGAAAAAAATAAGTTGGTCCAGATATCTGTAGTATAATGGCTTAAGTACTGCCTTTCTCATAGTTTTTTTAAGCATTCTCTCTAGTTGCCTTCTTGTTGGCAGTGATTTTTATCTTTGCCCATTTCCTCCTACACATTCTACCAACGAGTTTAAAGTCTGACTGTACTAGCTGTAAAGTTGAAACCGCTTTCTGTATAATCCTTTAAGTCAATTTTCTTCTTAGCAATGATCTACTGCAAGAATTTCCATGTCCAGCATACAGGAAATGTCTGGTGAGATTATCCAAAGGTTACCTGCAGCAATTGGTGTGGTGTGATAGGCAGTTCTGTAAATAGGGCCCAGAATTGCCATTCTGAATGAACTTTGACTATCAGCAAACAAGTGGAAAATTACTACCAAAATAAAAAGTCACATAGGAGTACCAGACATCTTAAATGACTTATAAGTGGTCCTTGCACAACTGTCACAGTGTCTCCAGAGTCACATGGTTGTGATCTGGGGCGCTTGGTAACCAACTCACACACTTGTAGGAACCTGCAAACATGTGATTGACATTTTCCATCTTCCCAGCAGCTGGCTTCTGACATCCAATGTCAATGGGGAACCCAGCAGGGAAGGTTGCAAGTTACAGTCATGGGGTGTCTCATTTAATGACTGTGGTGATTTGGTTAACAATTGCAGCAAAAAAGTTGTAAAATGGAGTCTGGCCATGAGATGCCCTCTTAAATCCCCCCCCTCCCTCTCTCCCTCTCCCTCCCCTCTCACCACAAACACATGATAAAAATCTAATAGTAACTTAGGGGCATGTAAATCAACATTATTCCTGGGAGTCATCTGAGCAGAACATCTGGCAGTCAGAAGTTATGGACATCCTTAAGGATTTTTACAGACTTGATCATAAGTGCTACTTTCCTCTTATTACAGTGAATAATTTGAGAGGAAGCAGATGGGAATTCTGTGTAAGACTTCTGTTTTGACTTAATTGGAATGCAAACTAACTGCAGAGACTGTCAAGTCTATAAATTTGTCTTCCTAGAGACGCTCATCATATTAACTCGAATCCATTGTGTCTGTAATGGAGTGTTGGCATCGTCTCTTTTGCCTCCTTTCTACAGATGGGCAGAATCCTCCAAATGAGATTTTTACCAATCCGGAGCAGTTTACCAAGGGGATCTGTTCTACTGATAGAACAGAAATTGTCTCTTGTCATAAATGTCCTATTAAGGCACTTTTAGTGTTGAATTTATTTCATAAAAATCATAGGCATCTTCTTTCCTTTCCAGAAAATGATAAAGGACAGTACATTTCTCCTTTCCATGACATTCCAACATATGCAGATGCTGACAAGGTAATGTACATGGTTCCTTTTCAATCCTTTCACTTGTTCCTCTGAACTAGGTGGTTAAGTGCTAGATGTTAATTAATTCATCTTAAAGGAAACAAATTGCTTGCATTGTGTACAGGGGTGGGATGCAAATTTTTAAACTACCAGTTCTGTGGGCATGGCTAGGTGGTCATGGCTAGGTGGTCATGTGACCGGGTGGGCGTGGTCCCCCCCTTCCCCGCCAAACTGGGCCTCAGGGAAGCCTGTGAACAAAAAACGGGCCAGGTCTCTGAGGCCCAGTAGGATAAAAAAAAAAATTTTTTTTTGCCTACTGGGCTTCGGGAAGAAGCAGTACAACAGCGAGGGGGGAGAGGAATCAGCTGTGCCCATGATTTAGATTCGCTAGAAAGCAAGAAATCTGGCCATCTGACGATTTCCTGCTTTCTAGCTAATCTAAATTGTGCAGCACAGCTGATCTTCGGAAAATAGCTAATCAGTGGAGGGATAACAAAGGAAACACCTTGATCTTCAGAGCGAACTGGTTTGCTCCCAGCTGATCTTCGGAGATTGTATATATTTTAATCACAATCTAACCTTTGTATTTGCCATACAAGGCAACTGCTATACCCCAACATACAGCAGCGTCACTGAAAAAAGTGATTTCCCACCCCCCACAGTTAATGACCATTGCAGCATCCCCATGTCATGTGATCCTAACAGTGGTGGGATTCATTTTTTTTTATTACTGGTTCTGTGGGCGTGGCTTGGTGATTGTGGCAGGGGAAAAATTCTGTAAAATCTCCAGTCAGAGGTGGTATTTGCCGGTTCTCCAAACTACTCAAAATTTCCGCTACTGGTTCTCCAGAACTGGTCAGAACCTGCTGAATGCCACCTCTGGGTAACTGGTTGATATTTATGATGGCTGCAGCATCCCAGGGTCACGTGATCACTTTTTGTGGATTTTTTTTTTTGACAAGCCAAGACAATGGGAAAGTCAGATCCACTTAAGAACCCTGCTATTAATTTAACAACTGCAGTGATTCACTTAACAACTGTGGCAAGAAATGTTGTAAAATGGGGCAAAACTCACTGAACAACTGTCTCACTTAGCAACAGAAGTTTTGCGCTCAGTTGTGGTCCTAAGTCAAGGGATGCCTGTAATTTTATTGACCTTCATTGCTTGAAGTGGGAGGAGTCTGAATTAAGTGTTCTGGTGTAGAGTAAAAGAAATTCTGAAGGAGAATTGCAGCAGGAAATCTTAATTTATTCTGCTGGTTATAAATGGTTATTTTAGTCATAGATTGAAGTTTGCCTGTTTTACTGTAGAAACTGCTTCCAAGGGAGAAAAATATGAAATAATTCTATCTTCCCACACTCATTCAAGTGGACTAATGTTTCCTCGCTTTTAGTTCAACTTCTTCTGCATAATGCAGACCAAATGAAAACTTTGTTGCTAATTTTTTAAAGCTGATTTGATTTGGGTATATAAGAAGCATTTCCCTACAAATTTTGGGATTTTTCTCATCCGTCCTTTTATGTTATTGATTACGATTTTATTGATACGATTTGCATTGATGCCTGTCTTAATACTCTGAATGGTGTACAAGGATTAAAAACACCCTCTCAAGACCCCAAAACATGTAACTGAAGCACCTAGGATAAATAATAACCCGATTGATTAAATATATGTCTTCATTATTAACTCTTACAACCCCTTTTCCTGAAGGAAAAAAAACAACATAGCAGCAGCCCAGCTTATATAATCTTCCTATCTGAGAAAACAGCCAGGTCCTTAATGAAAGGCTAACAAGGTTAGGGCCATCTGAATATCAGGAGGATTCGTATCCATAGTTTAAAAACATATCTAATGTTAGGTACAGGGACACAGTGGCTCAGTGGCTAAGATGCTGAGCTTGTCGATCAAAAAGGTTGGCAGTTCGAATCCCTAGCACCGTGTAATGGAGTGAGCTCCCGTTACTTGTCTCAGCTTCTGCCAACCTAGCAGTTGGAAAGCATGTAAAAATGCAAGTGGAAAAATAGGGACCACTTTGGTGGGAAGGTAACAGTGTTCTGTGTGCTTTCGGCGTTTACTCATGCCGGCCACATGACCACAGAGACATTTTCGGACAGCGCTGGCTCTTCGGCTTTGAAACGGAGATGAGCATCACTCCCTAGAGTCGGAAAGGACTAGCACGTATGTGCGAGGGGAACCTTTGCCCTTAATGTTAGCTGCTTCAGATGTTATAATATCCAATAAACTGCATCGTATACTGTAGGGTTCAGTTTTCATCTTTTCTGTCTCTGATTTGCCATATATTGTGCTTTTTTTAATCCATACTTTAACCCAAGTGAACTGTGATATTGTTATAATTAGCAATAATTAGCTTACAAAACAGAATAGTGTTTGAATATAATGTCTTTGTCCATCAGACATTTAGTTTGGAATGAGCTGGTTTCAAGCTTGTATGTAGAAGAGCTTTGGATTGGGGGAAAGGTGGAATACCCTTAATTTCTTTCATCTCCCAGCTTGATTAAATGGTGTCCCTGGCTGGCTTAAAACACTGTGCCAGACGGCTAGACTAGCTACAGGCCTGATTTATGCTTCGTTGGAACTTTCTGTACCTTTTATTCCAGCTCCTACAGGAACTCAACAAATAAACCTCACACATTATGTTTTATTGGTTCAGTGAAAGTGTCAAGTTAAATACTTGGGCTTCAGATAGAACAAGAAAAGTTCTTATGACCACACGGCCTCCAGGTTAGGCAGCAAAACCGTGTGGATAAGCAGTTGAGATAATCAGGATTTGCATTTATATTTCAAAAATGTAAATGCCTCAAATGTCAACAGCCAGTTTGACTAAAAATAAATAGGAAAACAGATGTGAGAAAAGAATGCAAGTGTTTGGAAGATTGAGAATCTTGCATGCACAGACAGCCGCTTAAAGCAAAGATGAATTCTAAGGATAAACAAGAATAGCCAGCTTTAAAGTTGGAATTGCAAGGTCATAACCTTAATGCAGCTTATAAGAGCTTTGTAGTAACATTCTGTTGCATGAATTGGGTGAAATGCAGAAAATAGGATGCAGAATTCAAAATTCTACTTAGAACAAAAGCATACATACATTATGATCTCTAGCACTTTCCAATATTCATGTTGTCTTTATAAACTTTTTATAAAAGTATTGTAGAGCATTCATTCTGGTATTGGAGACATTTTGGATTTATTCCTACCTGGATTGTTTCCATCATTATATTCCAAATGCATATTGCTTCATCGAACCATGTAAAAATGATCTGAAATTTTATATAAACGAATGTTCAATACCTTTTGTTGCTTCTGAAATTTTGCTAAAATTACTTACCTTTTCTGACTTGCAGAATTTGATCGTGATTCTTCTCATGGTTTTTTGAATTATTTTTGTCCAGCAAGAATTAACAGCATTCTTAACAGCAAGAATTGAGCTTCTGTCATAAATGGATAGACCTAGACAGTTAAAAGGTCTTTTAAATAACTTAATCCCTGAAAGAAAAAAAATTAGTTACCTAAGCTGGTTGTTTTAAAGTAAGCTGATCTGCCCTCTTGTCCTTAAGCTTATGGAAAACCAGGATTAGGGTTCAGGACTGCTTAAATCCTTTTAATGGGCACTGAATGATGCAAGAATAAACTGATAAGTAGAAAGTGGTACCAGATGTGCATAATCCATATGTTCTGTATTCCAATAATGTATTGTTAGCCTCTCTAGTGTTTGAAAGATAATTGGCTGTCGCTTTAGTAAATGGGAAGATTTTGGGGTTGTCCCCAGTGCTGCAGTGTCAATAAAATGTTGTGTCTGAATATCCAGGGAGCCATCTCCCTTAATTAATAAAGCAAACCCCATGAAAAAAAATCTACTTTTTCTTAAAAGTTAAGGATTTCTTCCCATTCCCTGTGTAAGAAAAATGAGCATCTCGTCCCAACTGAGATTTATAATAGGGCCAGTTTAACATTTGGATAATAGCTACACTCTGGGCAAAATTTGGGGGCAGGAAGGAGTAAAAAGCATAGTTATCATATTCATGGGAATGGAAACATTTCAGGGAGCTCCAGGGAAGGATAGTTGCTGGGTGACAATTCAGGAAGGACGACTGACAGCACTTTTCTCATTGTTATATTTTATATGTACTTTGCTGAATTTATGTTCTTTTCAGCACATCTTCAACATGGTTGTGGAAATACCTCGATGGACCAATGCAAAGATGGAGGTAATTCAATGGGAGTGCTGTAATCAATGGCTTCATTAATTGCTTCATCAAAGTTAGTTTACGTTAGAGGTAGTCAGTTAACAGATTTTCAGAGTTGGAAGGAACCTTGTAGGTCATCTATTCCAACCCCCCACCTAAGCAGGAGACCCTACACCATTTCTGACAAATGGCAGTCCAGTCTCTTCTTCAAAGCTTCCAGTGATGAAGCTCCCACAACTTCCGAGGGCAACTTCTGTTCCATTGGTTGATTGTTCTCAGTGTCAGAAAGTTTCTCCTTATTTCCAGGTTAAATATCTCCTTGTTCAGTTTCCATCCTTTATTCCTTGTCGGCCTACAGGCGCTTTAGAAAATAGCTTGACCCCCTCCTCTCTGTGGCAGCCCCTCAAATATTGGAAGACTGCTATCGTGTCTCCCCTGGTCCTTCACTAGACTAGCCATTCCCAGTTCCTGCAATCGTTCATCGTATGTTTTAGTCTCCAGTCCCCTAATCATCCTGGTAGCTCTTTTCTGCACTTTTTCTAGAGTCTCAACACCTTTTTTATGGTGTGGTGACCAAAACTGGATGCAGTACTCTAGGTGTGGTCTTACTAAGGCTTTATAGAGTGGTATTAGTACTTCCCTTGATCTCGATTGTATCCCTCTGTTAATGCAATTTAGAATTACATTAGCTTTTTTGGCTGCTGCTGCACACTGTTGGCTCATATTTAGCTGGTTGTCTACTAAGACTTCACTAAGTCCTCGACTTGCAACCATTCAGAGTTACAATGACTGAAAAAAACCCTTACCAACTGCTTTTCATACTTACGACTGTCTCAGCATCCTCGTGGTCACGTGATCATCATTCAGACAATTGACAACTGATTCGTTTATGACAGTTGCCGTATCCTTGGGCCACGTGATCCCCTTTTGCAATCTTCTGACAAGCTGTGTCAACGGGAAAGCCAGGTTCATTTAACAACCATGTTACTAACTTAACAGCTGCAGTGGTTTCACTTAACAACTGTGGCAAGAAAGGTCATAAAATGGGACAAAACTCACGTAACTATCTTGCCTAGCAACAGAAATGTTGGGCTCAGAAGTTTTGGTAATAAGTCGAGGACTAACTTTATTAAATTTCAAATTGCCTGCTATTAATAGCATATAGCCTAGTAAGTGTTTTAAAGCTGAAGTCCTATGTATACTTACTTGGAACCTTTTCCAATGAGACACACTCTGTTTCTCTCTCTGTTTCTCTCTCTCTCTCTCTCTCTCTCTCTCTCTCTCTCTCTCTCTGTGTGATTGGTTCCGATCAATCTGGATATTTATCTTGCTGGAAATATTAAATTAAACTTCTACCAAAAAAGTTACATTTTTTCTTACAATATTTTTAACAATTTGAGTACTAAACTAAGCAAATTCTGTTTTAGATTGCAACTAAGGATGTTCTCAATCCAATTAAACAAGATGTGAAGAAAGGAAAGCTACGTTACGTTGCTAATGTATTTCCCCATAAGGGATATATCTGGAACTATGGCGCTATTCCACAGGTATTCTAATATTACCTTGTCTTTTTTATGAATTCAAGTAACAAACAACTCTAATGAAGGGCAGCTTTGTACCATTGCATAGACAACTGTGGGCAAACTCTCTGGAGGAAGAAGGAAACACCTTAGATTGTAAACAAGCAAGCTGCCTGTTTTAACAACAGAAAGAATGACTTTATTAAAGCATAAGAAGCCTTAAAAACAGAGAGAGCTCTCATAAAGCCAGCACAGATTAAATGAATTAAACCAGTGTTGATAATAATAATAATAATAAGAATGTTCCATGAATCAATTCTGGTTTTATGTTTATTTCACTTGATGCTGTCTTTTAAATTTACCCGTGGAAGCTATATCAAACTCTTAACATTTATTGCTGTAGTACAACTGTTGTATCTTAATAATTTAAAAATCTATTAAATGAGTTGGATTAAAGCATATTAAATGAATTGGATTAAAGCATATTATCCAATTCATTTAATGGATTTATTATTATTATTATTATTAAAATACAATTTAATAATAATCCATTTAACAGTCTGATAAGAGGGAAAGGGGTGTCCAGAGCAAAACATTTTATGCATTTTATAATGCATCTATGCATTTTATGTATATCTTAGGTATTTTAAGCACGAACCTATGCATGCACAGACAGTAAATACTGTGGATAGATTTTGTTTCCATTGTATCCAAAGTCTAGTAACCTAATATACATTAAAATTGAGTATTTTATTATTGTTTTTTTTTCTGTCAGTTTCCTTCTGACTGATCTTTCTGTTATTCTGTTATTTATGGGGAAAGATAATGAGCTTTTCCTTTTGATTTGTTGGCTTTGTGATTTTTTTATTTTTACCGTTAACTTCCGTCTTAGATTTCAAAACTGTCTTGATAATAAGTTTGCTTTTCAACAGAAAGCGGCACATAACTTGCTTTGTCTCCATCTCATTAAGGATTTTTTTTTTCTGATATCCCTTGTATTCCCCAAGCTGGTATCCCTGGTGCTCCAGGTGGCTAGCATGTGCTTTTATGTGAAATACAAAGCGTTCCGTAGCCATCTCTCTCCTAACACTGTTTCTCAACTGGAAGGAAGTTGGGTCAATTTCTATTAAAGCAGTCCTGAACTACAACTTCCTGTTAACGAGTGTGGCCCCCGCAATCACACTGAGTGTGAGATAACCTCTTTACATTGAAGTAGCTGAGATTACATGTGAAGTGCCTGGGATTCTATACTGAATTGTTTCGCCCTTTTTATGTTCATAAACAAATACTTGCATTGTCCTGTTGAGAAACTTGAACTTGTTCACTATGCCCCTGTTTTGTGGAAATGGTAACAAACACCGGTTTCTGGCAAAATAGCCATAAATCACAATATGTGATCCCAAGGCACTGCAAAGGGGCGTAAATGCAAGCCAGCTGCCGAGTGCTCAATACATCATGTCACTCTGTGTGTGTGTGTGTGTGTGTAAGTGGTGGGATACATTTTTTTTCTACTACCAGTTTTGTGGGCATGGCTTGGTGGGCGTGGCAGGGGAAGGATACTATAAAGTCTCCATTCCCTCCCTACTCCTGAGGGAAGCATACTGCAAAATCCCTATTCCCTCCCCACCCCACTAACCTGCTTTCCAGCCCCATTCTCCTATGCAGGGCAACAAAATAAGACACAGCCAATCGCCTGGGACTCGGGAGGCAGAGAATAGATGGGGTGGGGCCAGTTTAGAGGTGATATTTGCCGGTTCTCCAAACTTCCCAAAATTTCCTCTATCGGTTCTCCAGAACTGGTCAGAACCTGCTGAATACCACCTCTAGTGTGTGTGTGGTGGGGATGACATCAGAACTTTGAATCTGGGTCTTAAGTCCCTTTTATGAAAGGTTTCGAATTCCTTGTTTTCTTGTTCTTCCAGCTAAAACATCACAACTACCAACTCCCCAATTCTGCATGGTTGTCAGTGGACAAAGAACAGTTTTAAATTCCTTTATAGAATATGTAAAGAGCAAAATATTTTAATATGGTACAGCTTTAAATTTTAACTGAGCAGCCCTTGCTGAGCTGAAAGGAAGGTTGCGCAGCAAGCACTTAAAGGAAACAATATTTATTTTGTAGACGTGGGAAGATCCAATGCATAAAGATGAAAATACCAACTGTTGTGGAGACAATGATCCAATCGATGTTTGTGAAATTGGAGATAAGGTAACAAAACCCTTTTCGGGTAGAAATTTGGGGTTTGCTAACCATCTTTGAAATGTTAACCAGTAAGTTACTCTGGAGATATTTGCAATCAGGCTGTTCATCTAGGTGTCACTAGGTGTAAATATGCAGACAATGGCAATGGCTAATTTTTACATGTAGAGGAGTTCTTGGTTAACAACCACTTGTTCAGCAACCATTTGAAGTTACAATGGCACTGAACAAGGGATTGTTACAACCAATCCTTGAAGTTCCACCTATCCCGGCACTTCGGCAGTCACATGATCACGATCTTGGCAGTCAGCAATCGGCTCCGCATTTAGGATGATTGCAGCGTCCTGTGAATACATGATCAATAGTAAACGGCCTTCCCTGCTAGCTTGCCAGCAAAGTCAGTTGGTAAGAATTTCCTCTTCACTTGAGAAAAGCATATCTACAGGAATTGCTGTCCAAAATCAGCCTCTGAATAGGCTGCTGATTTAGTGAAATATGAATTCATTCCACAAATTTCATGTTTCCGAGCAGTCAGGCAGAAGAGGAAATATTGTTACTTCACCTGTTCTGGCTTAGTAGGACCAGCTGTGCGATTCTGAATCATACCCAGTGAGTAAATTTATTCAAACAGGTGTGCAACAGAGGCGACATAATTCAAGTGAAAGTTTTGGGTACGCTGGCATTGATTGATGAGGGTGAAACCGACTGGAAGATCATTGCAATCAATATTAAGGACCCTGAAGCTGCTAATATGAATAGTAAGTAGCTTTGACGTGAGATTTCCGACACATTATTTGTGCCTTTTCCAGTTTTGAAATTCCACATATGGAAAGTGTGTATCTGATACAGAATAGGACTGGTGTTATATTTTCGTGCCATTCCGCTGTTAAGGATTACAGGTAATCTCCGACTTAAAAACAGTTCACTTAGTAACCATTCAAAATTACAACAGCACTGAAAAAAAATGACTTAAGACCATTTGTAGCATCTTCATGGTCACATGACTTATATTTAGATGATTGACAACCGACTCATTCTTATGACGGTTGCAGTGTCCGTGGGTCATGTGATTAGCTTTTGCTACTTTCTCACAAGTAAAGTCAAAGGGGGAAGCCAGATTCACTTAACAATCAAGTTACTAACTTATTACTTGCAGTGATTCATTTAACAAATGTGGCAAGAAAACTTGTAAAATGGATCAAAACTCATTTAACAAATGTCTCACTTAGCAACATAAATTTTGAGCTCTGTCATGATCCTAAGTTGAAGACTACCTGTATCTGTATATAAGTAGCTATCGTGTAAAGTTGAACTTCATTTTTGAGTACTATGTTGATCTGATTTCCTTTTGGCTTCCTACTCTTTAAATTTGAAACGTCCCTAATTAATGCCCTCGATGTACAGTAGAATTCTTGATGGAATAAAGGCTGATTTTTACGGGAATGATCGCATTTCTTCTGCAAGACGTTCCCCAGGAAAAACTAAGAATAAAATATGTTGGGACACTTAAAACAAAACTTGAATAGGTTCTGAATGTATGCCTTTTAAAAATTTAAGATATTGATGATGTCAGAAGAATTAAACCTGGGTACCTGGAAGCAACTGTGGACTGGTTTAGACGATACAAAGTACCTGATGGGAAGCCAGAGAACCAATTTGCATTTAATGGAGAATTTAAAGATAGGGTATGTATATATATATATATATATTTCTCTACTGCTGGCCACTGTTTGAAGCTGCTGATGTTTTCTTGTTAATGCAAACAATACCAAAAGTGCATGAAAGCATGTCCCAAAGTGCATGAAATAACAAAAGTGCACGAAAGCATGTTTTTGTTCAGAACCGCATACAGAAATTATTATTTAACTACAGATGTGATGACTACACACACAAAAAAAACAAACTATTTTTTTTTCAAATTAAGTAGCCAGAAATGCTTCACTGCACTGTTAATGTCCCAGTCCAAAACCCTATGGTGCAGTCTAACAATGTGGTAATAAAATTTATGTTTGTGCACGTATGTATGTATGTATGTATGTATTTTATATCAGGTTTCTGAGAAGAGACTGAATTTGTTTCCTCTTTTCAATCCCAGGACTTTGCAATTGATACGATTAAAAGCACTCATAACCACTGGAGTGCTCTAATAATTAAAAAAGCAGATGCAGGAGAGATTTGTTGGTAAGTTGTTATACTCTTTCTTTCAGAAGTGCCTTGGAGAGATGAATTAAATGAATGTTAACCTGTTAATAAAATTAATCCTTTAATATCTTGTGAGATTTACATCCTATTTTATTCCCTAAATATGTCTCGTTTTAAAAGTATGTTTCAATGCATTGGAGAAACACCTGGTTATTTGTTTTCATTTGTTTTTATTTTTGTTTCCCAGCACAAATACAACTTTGAAAGATAGTCCTTTTTGTTGCAGTCAAAATGCCGCAGCAGCCACCGTGACAGCGGTAAGCAGTCTTTGGAATATCTACTGGGAAAGGCTGTGTGTATTCTGTGTGCAAACTAAGAAAGGAAAATGCCAGATCAGATCCAAGGTCTAGTTCCAACAACATTCTGCTCCCAGAGACTCCACAGTGGCTGGAGAAAGCTCACACGCCAGGCCTGAAGTCAGAAGCATTCCTCCCATTTATCATCGTAGGGATCACAGTGCCATTTCTGATGCTGAAGATCAGCTATTCTTATTGTGATTAATCAATATTGATAGCCTTATCATCTTCCTCTAAAATATTGGTTGCAAAATTTAGCCCCGTGAGAATCTAGAGCAAGGGTCCCCAAACTTGGCAACTTTAAGACTTGTGGACTTGAACTCCCAGAATGCTCCAGCCAGCATAGCTGAGTATTCTGGGAGTTCAAGTCCACAAGTCTTAAAGTTGCCAAGTTTGGGGACCCCTACTCTAGTGTGTATCTTAGTATTCCACTTTACAGATAATCCTTGCTTAATTACCACAATTGGAACCAGTAACTCCATTGCCAAGCGGGAGATCATGTGACTGTGATGGATCTTTGATGTCTGTTCCCATTTGGTCATTAAGTGAGTCAACCCATAATCCTTAAGTGAGACATCACATGACCACAGCTTGCAATTTTACTGCTGGCTTCTCCTTTAACTTTGCTTGTCAGAATAAAGCATGCCAATGGCCGTTGAACTTTGTGCGACTTGTAAATGCCCACCAGTTGCAAAGGGCCAAAATCTCGATCACGTGGCCATGAGGACATTGTGAGAATTGTAAGTGCAAGGACAGAGCCTTAAAAATTACTTTTCAGTGCAGTCATAAATTCAGATCTTTGCTAATCAGGGCATTAGTTAAGTGGGAGCATAACAGGTAAAAGTGTGCTTTATCTTTGCTATGAGGTTTTCTTTTCCTCCAAACTCCTTTTTAAGTCAGTTTAATTTATTAATTTATTGTGTTTATTCATTTAGTTTCTATACCTATCTAACTCAACCAAGTGACTCTGGGCGGTTTACAATTTAGTTGCCTCTGATCTTTTCTACAGGCTGACTATGCTAATTCTGTTCATCTGTTTCAAAAAATAAGGAACTTTATTAGCAGAAATGCAGAATAATGTTTAACTGATTTTACTTAGATTTGGTTTGCAATAAACTTAATACCCCTTTTTCTCACTAACATTGGAAACAGAAGCAGAAGAAAACTCACAGCTTAATAAACTAGAGCCAATTTTTCAGTCATAAAAGTTAAGTTTTAGAGAGACTTTTATTCTCCAGCCAGCTCCTTCCAACTAGCATACAGCCAGCAAAGATATTTCCAAAACTATCAAAATTTGATTTTTTAAATATTTATTATAAAATATTTGATACTGATTTATAGGCAGTTCTGAATTAAGTAAAAATTCTGAATGAAATGTCTGTTTCAGTTACCTCCTTGTGGGACCTGTAATCAACTACCAGCTGAAGGTAAATTATCTTAATTTGGAGTGAAATATGAATATATGTATTTTTGTGTTGGGGAATGACAAGATTGCCAATGCCTATTTTGCATATTAACCTGAATATGCTGAATAAATTTGTACCTTATAGTTTTCTGTGCATTGCAAAACAAGATCTAAGGCCAGAAACAGCCAGTTGTTTGGTTGGGATACTAAACCTGGCTAATTGTAAGCCAGAGTAAGATCCATTATGTCTATGCCAAACAGTAAATAGAACACAATTTAGATTGCAGTATTAGTTTTTATGTCCACTAAGATGTCTTGTGGGGTTTTTTTATTAAGAAAGAAGTAGGTATTTTAAAGGCTAATAATTACAAGAGCATAAGTTCACAAGGTTTAAAATCTGATTTATAACTTTGATTATACTGTGCCAGTTTAGCATGATTGCTATTCTGGAAACTATATTGAAAGTGAAATGGACATTCTGTTGCTTTATAGTGCTACAGTATTAAGCATTTAGAAAACCATAGATATAAAACTTCCCACATTGAAATCCCTATGGACTTGACAGAAGCTCAGCCTATATATTTACCATCTCTGTTTATGATCCCTTCACTTAAAGATGCTTTCCCTCTGTGTCCTTAGTATGCATGGAAAGAGTTTCCCCATACATTGTCAAAGGAATGTCTTTCTGATATGCAAATTGTCAGATGTCCAGGTCATGTGCTGCCAAAGGCTGTTCAGCTAAAAGCATGTCCACTTCAGTTTTTTTTAAAAAAGTATTCAATCGAGTGTTTTTGCTCAGGCTTTTCCCTACTTCTGTCATTTTTCAGAGAAATTGCCTCTGAATAATTTACTTCTGTGAAGCCACAATAGTGACTATAGCTTGAAACAGGTTGTGCTGACATTTTGTATTCTTCCCCCTATTTCTTTTCTCTCTAACCAGTCGACCGGTGGTACTTTTGCCGTTGAGATTTGACCGAAGGACAACAGTTACTCATCAAGATATTTGTTCAGAACATTTGTGAAGAATTAGCTGAAAATCCAGAACAATGTGTTTATAATTAAGTAAATTATGGTTCACAGTCCACTGTATACATTAAAAAAAATATCTGAGATTAGATGATGTAAAACACCAAATCTTCAAATATACATCATGAACCTCAGTGACACATTTTGTATCTATATTATTTTGTTGTTTGCTAGGTTTATCTCAGTGTTTTCCAGTATAAAATGTTAGGGTTCCCCCCTCCCTATCAGACAGGTTTATTTTAACAGATGGAGGGGGGAGAAAACCCCACAAACTGATTCTAAATGCCACATCCTCATTCCTTGAAGTACTTAATGCCATTTTAAAATCTTAAGGTACCTCACAAAATCAACAAACCATGGAACAGAGAGATTAAAGTACAATATAGAACCAGAGAGCGTAATTTGAGTGGTGCTGCTGCTGCTTATGACGGCTTCTATTCATCAACAGAATTAACAATGTGTTAAAGATTTAATGGCAAACCAATATAAAATGACCTAGGTACCAGTCATTATATAAAACTGAATAAGCTAAAATAATAGTCTGAGACTGCCTATCTGGTCTCAAAGCAGTGGTTTTTCTTATTGAGGGGCTTTCTGAGGTAAACATCATGTTTGTATTTCTTTATTAGAATAGAATGTATGAGCTGGAAGGGACGTTGGAGGCCTTCGAGTCCAGCTCCCTGCTCAAGCAGGAGAACCCATACTATTTCAGATAAGTGACTGTCTAGATTAGTTTCCAACCATTGTTTCTTGTCCTGCCTTCCGATGCTTTGGAGAACAATTTGACTCCTCCTTTTTTATGGCAGCCCCTCAAGTACTGGAATTCTCAGTGGCGTGTTGGCCTCTTCTAATGATGTCTACGAATGGGATGAGACCAATGCAAGGATGAGCAACCGCTGGCCTCCAAGTTCTCCTTTATGTGACCCAGGCTCTGATTCTTTATGCTTGCAAAGGTATAAACTTCCCTACAACCTCCACATGCTGGGAATTCTTGGCTTTTTTCTGCCTTTTTCAGAGCTTATCAGAGCAGGGAAAAAAAATCATGACTTGCAGTCTTTACTCAGCAGCTATTCTGCTAACTGGAAATACACATCTATGGATGTATGCATTGCAGGCAGAACAAAATAGAATTCTGTGCAGGGCAACACTTCAGTTTAATCCCTAAAATAATGGAATCAAGGGAACTTAATCCACATTTATTTTCTTTTAATTCTCCCAACCTTTTGTGGTTGGAGCATTAATCTATTCTTACTTGATTAAAAGCTAGTCTGGGAAGATATTCCATTTCATTTTTGGATGGAAAGCAACGAGGATCTTCTTGTGGTTCTTTTTAAAGCTCACCTCAGAAGGAAATATTCCTGCTCCTGACTCAGGCTTCAGAATTTGATTTTCTCCAGCTTTGATGGTTTCTAATTATTACCTAGGCTGATACTGGTATATAGCACTGCTGAACTATTTCCTATGAGAAGTACTCTAGTTCTGCTGCCTACTTGTGATATTCCCCTGAATTTTAAGTTTCTACATCTTAAATCATAAAGAGACATTTTCAAACTCCTGCTATGAGTTTGCCTACAAATAATAAAAAGAATTTGTGCAACTGCATGATTTCATTGGGATTAGGGTCTGTTTATTTATTGAAACCCTGGGTGAGAATGATGCTACTAAATTTCATAACTTTATTCTATCAAACACAATTCAAAGGGATCTTTAAAGACTAAAATAAAGCTATTTCTTTAGAAATTAAAAATGGCAATAAACATTAAAATCATATTTAATGGAATGGGTGAGCTTGATTTCTTATGTTCAGTTTTTTTTAACTTCTGTATGTTATTTTGAAGACAGCCATTCTCATTCACTAAAGGAATGAGGGGGAAAAGATGAGAAAAAGAATCAACTTTTAAATGGCTCTTGAAATGCAGCTTGCTCAATACCTACTGTACAAAGATCAGAATCATGCAGGGCATGGTATTCTCTGGGATGCTCCATGGAAGTAGAAATTTAAAGACGCAGGATAAGACTATTGGTGCTTTTGAAGACTTCTGAGAATACTGTGGACAACCAAGAAAACAGACAGATCCTCTAACAAATAAACCCAGAGTTCTCACATGGGGACTGCTTGCTAAGCACGTGAAATGTGACCACATGACCATGGAACGGGGTTGGCCATTGTAACTTTGGAGCCAGGTTGTAAGTACCTTTGGGGGTGGGTGGGAAGATCCATTGCTCACTGTGTACCTGGTTATAAGTTGAGGACTATCTGTAGCATTAATTATTTATATGGCTGCCCGTCTACAAAACTCTGGGATCTACAATAGTGAATTAAAAAGAAAACCCAATAAATATAAAAACCATCATCAAAAACGAAAAAACACAAGCAGAAAGGATATTATCGTTCTAAGGGAGCTGTTGCAGGATCGTTGGTCCCCTGGGATTCCTGGCCTTGTAGCAGAGCCAGGTCTTGAAGATTTTGACGAATGTTGAAAGGGACCAAACTAACCTTGTGTTTGGGGTGGGAAGATTCCATAATGCAGGTGCTAAAGCAGAGAAGTCCCACTTCCTGGTACCCCTCAAGTGTAATTCCCTAACAGATGGGATCTTCAGCAAATTGCAGCATGTCTTCTCTGCCACTTCTGGTGGGACAAACAACTATAATTGGGGAACGGGTTGGTTCCTCAGATAACCTGGTTCCATGCTCTGTAAGGGTTTAATAGTCAAAACCAGCAGGGTGAATTGGACCCAGAAGCACACTGGAAACTAATGTCCAACGCAGAGTAGAGATGTATTGTTACCTTTCTAGAGGAATACGTGCCAGGGGGTTGCATTTTGCATCAGGTGAAGTTTCCAGATACTCAGGGCAGAATTCATGTGGCATGCATTACAGAAGTCCAAATAGGAGGTGACTATAGAGTATCAATGGCTATGAGCAGAGCTCCCTGACCCAGGAACGGGTGCAAAATGGCACACAACACAAAGCTATGCAAAGGCCCTGATAGCTGTGGATGTTACCTGCTCTTCATGCAGGTATCGTGAGGACATGGGGACCCACAGAATGCACAGCAGGGCTGGCTGGAGCAGCGCAACCACATCCAGCACCAGAAGGTCCTGAAACTGGAAGATCCCAAAGCCACTCAGCCTTACCAGGGGTTCAGCTGAAAACTATTCCCCCATCCAGATCTTCACAGCCTTGTATTGGTGACAACAGGAAACATTTTTGTAATAAGGTAAATACTGAAGGACAATTGGCTTATCTTCTCTCGAAAATGAATATTTACACAGGGAAGCGGAGAGTCCTTGCATAAAAAGTATTTGAATGATGTTTTATGAATGACTTGATATAAATAAAATTGTAGGCCCATTGTAATTTCAATCATTAACCAACAGGTCGTAGACCAGGGGCCTCCAACCTTGGCAACTTTTAAGACTAGTGGACTTCAACTCCCAGAGTTGAAGTCCACCAGGCTTAAAGTTGCCAAGGTTGGAGACCCATCGTAGACTGTCTATTCTATATAATTCCATATAACATCTATGTGTGGATATATGCATGCGTGTGTGTGTCTATTTCTTAATTTAATTATAAGCATAATTTTATTTAAATTATACCTGCAGTTTTATTTTATTGCTTTAGATAAATGCCTTAAACCAGAGGTCCCCAAACTTGGCAACTTTAAGACTTGTGGACTTCAACTGCCAGAATTCTCCAGCCAGCTAGACAGGCTGGAGAATTCTGGGAGTTGAAGTCCACAAGTCTTAAAAGTTGCCAAGTTTGGAGACCTCTGCCTTAAACAAAAATCCATTTCCGGAGTTCCTTCCATTTCAGAAAGGCGACAAAGTCAGTAAATGAAGGAATGGTCAGTATCATGTGCAAAGTATTTTTAGTATTTTTAGGTGTTTTTTTTTTAGTATTTATTTGTCAATCGCTTACAAGATACAGGTATAAGAATAAATATAGTTTTGAATAGATGAGATAGATACTTATAAGAAAAATAAAAAACAATAGGACAGGGACTGTAGGCACATTGGTGCGCTTATGCACGCCCCCTGCAGGCCTCTTAGGAAGGGGGTGAGGTCAATAGCAGACAGTCTAAGGTTAAAGTTTTTGGGGTTTGGGGAAGAAACCACAGGGTCAAGTAGAGTATTCCAGACACTGACCACTCTGTTGCTGAAGTCATATTTCCCGCAATCAAGTTTGGTGCGGTTAATCTTGAGTTTGTATCTATTGTGTGCTCTTGTATTGTTGTGGTTGAAGCTGAAGTATTCATGGACAGGTAGGACATTGCAATGTTATGATTTTATATACTATATTTAGATCGGACCGGAGGTGGCGTAGTTCTAGGTCTAGTTTTCTAGGTCTAGAGTTTCAAGTCTGGTGGCATAAAGTATTCTACAATGAGTAGAGGAGCGGAGAACTCTTCTTGTGAAATATTTCTGGACTTTTTCAATTGTGTTAATAGTATCAGATACGTAATGTGGGTTCCAGACTGATGAGCTGTATTCGAGTATTGGTCTAGCAAATGTTTTGTATGCTCTAGTTAGTAGTGTGATATTACCAGAGAAGAAGCTATGTGGGATTAGATTAACAACTCTTAATGCCATTTTGGCTATGTAGTTACAGTGGGCTCTAGCACTTAGATCATTTGAGATGTGTACTCCAAGGTACTGATGGAGAAATTGACCTTTAGTCTTCTTGCCCAGATATTAAAACTAAAACCACTTTTCTTTGTTGGGAAAATTTTAGAGGAGGCCGCGGCTGAGGTTTTGTTCCCCTTTTAGGTTATCCCAAAAGCAAGCCACCACCACCCCGCCCGTTTCGAAGCCTGCCGACCGAAACTTGGCTTTCGAAACCTGCCGAACCGAAAGCGTAAATCCCTCAGCTCAGGATTCCCTCCTTTTTTTCTCCCCTCTGACGTCAAAAGAGCCAACCAATCACGTGCATCCAACCCGGGGAAGCCAAAGCAGCCTCTCGGAGCCTGGTGAGTCGGAGGGGGGCGGGGCTTGCGCTCAGCGTCACGTGCCTGGAGGCGGAAACCTAGCGCGTGGCAGAAGCCCGTCGCCGGCGTTCTCTTTCCAACCGGAAGCTGCTCGCCGAACGCCGTCCCCGCCGAAAGGAGGAGATGCTACGTATTTCCGGCGTGGAGGTGGCGGCTGTGGAGTGAGGGAGTGTGTGTGCGAGAGAGAGAGAGAGAAAGACTGACGGGAGGCTTCGCCGGGAAGCGAGGGAGGGAGAGTCGTTGCCGCCGCCGCCGCCGCCACTGTCGTGAAAGGCTTTCTCCGCCTGGCGAAAGGAGCCGCTGCTTGTCTGCGAGGAAGGTGAGGGAGAGGCGACGACCGATGGCTTTCGGCCTGAGCCGGCCGGTGGGCGGGTATAAAACGAGCGGTCGCGGGGGGGGGGAGGCGGAAGGCGAGCAAGTGACACGCAGGCGAAATGAGGGTGGGGAGGCCGCCCTCCCCCCCTCCTTTCTCGGCGGATGGTTTCTCCCGTTCTTGAGACTCGACGGATCTGCTTCGGGGTTTCTTTGGGACCCGTCAGAGATTCCCGGCGCCCCTTCGTAATCCCGGCCTCCCGGAGGGCTGTAATTCCGGCTCCCGTCGCCGCCTCGGGTTGGTGGGTGCTGATCCGATCCCCTGTGAAGAGGTGGGAAACCGGGATGGTGGTGGTGTATTTTGGGGGGGTCGGGGGTCGGGGGAGGGGGTTGCCGCTCTCCGCTCTCCTGCGGCTGAATTGGGAGCAGCGGCGACGACGACGACGACGGCGATCTCGGTTCTTGGCTTTTGTCCGTTTCTCTTTCGGACATGATGTTTCGCTTTCTTTAGAAATCGGAAAAGATCGAGAGTGAATCCCTTCTCCGTATGCTCGGATCCCAAGACCTACACTAATTAGTGTTTCCAAAATATAAAATTTGAGGGTTTTTTTTTTTTTTTGCTGGTCTGCCGTTTTTAATGGCTGTTTTCAATCCGGGCTCCTTTGTTTTGTCTTTTTTTGTTTTTAACTTTTTTTTAAGCTTAGCATTGAGGGGGTTTTTTGTAAGCCGCCCGGATTCTGCTGGAAGGGATGGCTCTAACTAGATCGATCTATCTATCTATCTATCTAATAAATAGAATAAAAGGTGTCGATGTTTGAAAAACTGGGGGCAATAACAGGCTCCAAAACCCAATAGTCCAATAAGGTCTTTCGTGCCTTCCTTTTTTTTTGGGAAGGAGCAATTTTATATATATATAATTATATAATCTTTTTATTCTATTTATTTCTCTCTCTCACACGCACATCTCTGTATCTATCTATCTATGAAATAAATAGAATAAAAGGTGTCGATGTTTGCAAAACAGGGGGCAATAACAGGCTTCAAAACCCTTCCTTGTTTTGGGAAGGTGCAATGATTGGGTAAGCAGATTTGGAAGCATCCATTTACTCTCTGCCACCCTCTGGGTTATGCAACTCCTGGTAGTTGTTACCTGCTTTACAAGTTCATGTAACTGAAGTAGATTGGTCGCTTTTTTAACTCTTGATTTTGGCTTTACCCTTAACGGGTCCCCATGCTGTGCCATTTGCAATGTATTCTTCTCTATTAAACCGGCTCTTCTGTTTAGTTGTGAGTGATTGGAAACACTGGATTTGTTGTGTGCCTGCCCAATTCTCAATTGATCTTTGGCAGAATAAGCTCCCCGCAATTTAGGCGAAAAGAGAAGAATGCAGTTTCTTTCATTAGCGCAAATTAAGAAATGGGTCATTGAGACATTTGTTAGAACTGTGCAAAATCATTTCTAAAAA